TTGCCTAGGATTCCAGGAATCAATTTTTTTGTTACTAATGTGGTGAAACGCATCAATGTTCAGTTTCTGCTTGGTAAATAAAATGTGAAACATATTTTCATGGTTCTTTTTTATGTGTGCAGGCAGTTTCAAATGATGTGTAGAATGAGCAGTCTTCAATCTCTTCTTTTCTATGAGAAGTCTGTGCCTGAGGAGGTTATTGAGAACCCTCTTGGGCTATCATTGAATGAGAAGAACATTGGAAACAAATCTCTCCTTGTGGTGGTTGTAAAGCAGCAGGTGGTGTATAGCACATCACTTGATTCTATTATGGCCGCTCGGGGGGGGGGGGGGGGATGCTGCCTTATGTAGGGTGGCAGGGTTTAGGCTAGGATAGGCTTATGGCGCTGGGGTGTTATGCTGCCTCATTGCCGCCCCAGGGCTGCCCCGGGCGCGCTATACTGCCTCGGTGGCGCGGCGTGGTGCCAAACCTTCCGTGGGGTGGTGGTGGTGGTAGGGAGAAGTGGGAGAGGAGGGAGAAACAGGGGAAAGGAAGGAAAGAAGAGAAAAAGAAAGGAGACTACAAAGAAGTAAGCGAAGAAGAAAAGAGAAAAAAGAAAGAAGCGAAGAAGAGAATAGAATAAAGAAAGAAGTTAAGAATACATATATTATATTTCAATGTATTTTTTATTTACCATTAATATATTTCTATTGCTCTGCAGCTTGATTTGGGCGGAGATTTAACAATTGATTAGTCCCCTAAATCAATTCCAATTGGCGACCAGGTATTATGTTCAAATAACAATGGTTTTTTGTTTTTTTCATCATTTTTAGACGGGATTAGTATTTCCTAAACAACCATGTTTTCTCCAATAAACTTAACACCAAAAAAGATTTGAACCTTAAATTAGGAGTCTTTGACGGATGTATGAGAGGGAGCAAATTAAAAATCAATACGGGAGATAAACTGAAGTGCTGAATGGAAAAAGAATTGCCAGGTTTTCATTTCAATGAAGCTCAGCTGCTCAAATTTATTAAGCATTAGAAATAGAAATATACTTTCTGTTTTCTCTTTCATATATTAGTGAGTTCAGTTGGTTGTATAGTAACAGATTGTTAGTTACTAGTTTTCCGCTTTGATCTCATATATAAACTCTGTAGTACTCTTTCAAACGTATTTTGGGTACCACATATAGTTTGGGTACCATACTGCCACATATTTTGGGTACCACATTTATTTATTAGCTGCAAACGTAACTCTATCCCTTAAAAATGACAAAAAAAACATGCAGGGGTACTCACATATCATGTAAGCATAGAAATGATGTGAATGAAAACTTGTGTACATATGTACAATTTTGTTCGGGGTTAATCGATTCAAAAATAATAGGGGTAAGTTCTAATTAGTTAAATTGCTACTCTGTATCAACTCGGTCAAGGGCTGAGTAGCGAATAGGACTGAGTACCCCGGTTACTCGGTGATTACTCGGCCCTATATTAATTAATTTTAAAAATATAAATGTTCAAAAGTATAGTAATATATTATTCTTATAATTATCACATATGTATAAAATAATAGCAATAATCCTAATGAAGAAGAAACGAGAAAGGTGTTTGTGGAGAAGGCAATGAAATACTTTTTAAGTTTTAAATCTTGACTTTAAGGTTGGTTTCCATTTTTTTAAACAACTACTCATTATTTATAAAATCCATAATATCCCTCCTTTTAATAAAACTTTTCAGATTCCACCAAATTTTAGGGTGGGATTCACGCTCAACAATATTCCAATTTTTCCTGTATTCCCAAACATTGAGAAATTGGCTCAAATCCATAATTTTAGTTGATGAAAGGTACCCTACTAGTTTTATGAAATTGGGACATTACACTGAAACAAAGTGTCCAAATTCTAAGAAATTAATGTAAGACTGCAATATATTGATTGCCTAGGATTCTAGGAATCAAATTTTTTGTAACTAATGTGGTGAAACGCATCAATGTTCAGTTTCTGCTTGGTAAATAAAATGTGAAACATATTTTCATGGTTCTTTTTTATGTGTGCAGGCAGTTTCAAATGATGTGTAGAATGAGCAGTCTTCAATCTCTTCTTTTCTATGAAAAGTCTGTGCCTGAGGAGGTTATTGAGAACCCTCTTGGGCTATCATTGAAAGAGAAGAACATTGGAAACAAATCTCTCCTTGTGGTGGTTGTAAAGGAGCAGGTGGTGTATAGCATATCACGTTCTCTATATGTTGATTCTATTATGGCCGCTCGGGGGGGGGGGGGGGGGGGGGGGTGCTGCCTTATGTAGGGCGGCAGTTTTTAGGCTAGGATAGGCTTATGGCGCTGGGGTGTTATGCTGCCTCATTGCCGCCCCAGGGCTGCCCAGGGGGCGCTAAACTGCCTCGGCGGCGCCGCGTGGTGCCAAACTTTCCGTCGGGGGGGGGGGGGGGGGGGGGGGGTAGGGAGAATTGGGAGAGGAGGGAGAAACAGGGGAAAGGAAGGAAAGAAGCGAAAAAGAAAGGAGACTACAAAGAAGTAAGCGAAGAAGAAAAGAGAAAAAAGAAAGAAGCGAAGAAGAGAATAGAATAAAGAAAGAAGTTAAGAATACATATATTATATTTCAATGTATTTTTTATTTACCATTAATATATTTCTATTGCTCTGCAGCTTGATTTGGGCGGAGATTTAACAATTGATTAGTCCCCTAAATCAATTCCAATTGGCGACCAGGTATTATGTTCAAACGACAATGGTTTTTTGTTTTTTTCATCATTTTTAGACGGGATTAGTATTTCATAAACAACCATGTTTTCTCCAATAAACTTAACACCAAAAAAGATTTGAACCTTAAATTAGGAGTCTTTGACGGATGTATGAGAGGGAGCAAATTAAAAATCAATACGGGAGATAAACTGAAGTGCTGAATGGAAAAAAAATTGCCAGGTTTTCATTTCAATGAAGCTCAGCTGCTCAAATTTATTAAGCATTAGAAATAGAAATATACTTTCTGTTTTCTCTTTCATATATTAGTGAGTTCAGTTGGTTGTATAGTAACAGATTGTTAGTTACTAGTTTTCCGCTTTGATCTTGTATATAAACTCTGTAGTACTCTTTCAAACGTATTTTGGGTACCGCATATAGTTTGGGTACCATACTGCCACATATTTTGGGTACCACATTTATTTATTAGCTGCAAACGTAACTCTATCCCTTAAAAATGACAAAAAAAACATGCAGGGGTACTCACATAGCATGTAAGCATAGAAATGATGTGAATGAAAACTTTTGTGTACATATGTACAATTTTGTTCGGGGTTAATCGATTAAAAAATAATAGGGGTAAGTTCTAATTAGTTAAATCGCTACTCTGTATCAACTCGGTCAAGGGCTGAGTAGCGAATAGGACTGAGTACCCAGGTTACTCGGTGATTACTCGGCCCTATATTAATTAATTTTAAAAATATAAATGTTCAAAAGTATAGTAATATATTATTCTTATAATTATCACATATGTATAAAATAATAGCAATAATCCTAATGAAGAAGAAACGAGAAAGGTGTTTGTGGAGAAGGCAATGAAATACTTTTTAAGTTTTAAATCTTGACTTTAAGGTTGGTTTCCATTTTTTTAAACAACTACTCATTATTTATAAAATCCATAATATCCCTCCTTTTAATAAAACTTTTCAGATTCCACCAAATTTTAGGGTGGGATTCACGCTCAACAATATTCCAATTTTTCCTGTATTCCCAAACATTGAGAAATTGGCTCAAATCCATAATTTTAGTTGATGAAAGGTACCCTACTAGTTTTATGAAATTGGGACATTACACTGAAACAAAGTGTCCAAATTCTAAGAAATTAATGTAAGACTGCAATATATTGATTGCCTAGGATCCTAGGAATCAAATCTTTTGTTACTTATGTGGGGAACCACATCGATGTTCAGTTTGTGCCAGCGCTTAAATAAAATGTGAAACATCTTTACATTGTTCCTTTTTATGTGTGCAGACAATTTCAAATGATGTGTAGAATGAGCAGTCTGCAATCTCTTTTTTTGCTATGAAAAGTCTGTGTCTGAGGAGGTTATAGAGAACCCTCTTGGTCTATCATTGAAGGAGAAGAATATTGGAAACAAATCTCTCCTAGTGGTGGTTGTAAAGCAGCAGGTGGTGTGTTCAGGGTCGGTCCTGACAATTTATAGGCCCGGGACAAAAGAGAAAAAATAGGCCCCTAATTATATACTACGTATTTTGTAAGAATGTGTTACAAAAGTTTCATTGTTAAAAATAAAATTTGTTGCGCAATTAAACGTTTTTTCCCATAGAACTACTCGGTATCATGGGTCATACAAAATAATTTCTTTGGGCATTCTCAAAAGCAGAATTAACAATAATACTATCAATTTTTAGTTTTCAGCTTATGTGAGGAGGGTAGAAAGTCATCGAATCCCATTTCGCGTGTATCTCTGCCGTTGTGGCTCAGTCTACGGAAATGAGGGTTGAGGAATATCTTTTACGAAGTATTAGAGTATAGAGAAATGATGTGGTGAGGTGTGCCTGACCAAATGTACCGTACATACAAGCCCAATTGAGAGAATTTCGGGTCAAATTTTTTGATAAACTTTGTGAGGATGTTCTTCATGAAGAGTAAACTATATTCATGAAATTTCAGTTTAAAATTCATTCGGGAAGTCTTTTAAATAAATTACTAAAAACCATTGCGTTGTATATATATATAAAAAACGTAGTGTTTTTCAATAATTTATTTAATAGACTTACTGATTGAATTTTAAAATGAAAATTTGTAGACATAATGTACACTTAATGAAATACATATTCAAAAAATTTCATTAAAAATACCCCCAGAAGCACCTCAAATGGGCTTGTCCTCCATGTCGGGCACGCAAGTGAACGGGACTCAATATGTATATATACTACCACTAAATAATCCATGGGCCCCTCTTCCAGGTGGGCCCTGGGCAGCAGCCCATGCTGCCCCTATGCCAGGACCGGCCCTGGGTGTGTTGTGTAGCACGTGCTCTGGTTCATGCCTATATGCTGATTCTATTATGGAATGTGAAGGATTATTGTTAAAGTAAAATCCTTGGGTAATTTTTTCTTTTGCCGATTTACTTTCCCTTTTATTTCTACACTCTAAGATGGCGGGCATATTGCAAAAATCTTTAACTGTGATGCATGTTTGTATGATTGTGATGCTGAAATCATTTATTGTTGTCTTACTGGCACCTCCCTCCTCCTGAAAAATACTATATGCAGGCAAAAACAATGAATCATTTCTAGTTATAGTTACTGAATGACTGATCAAGGTTCTGACCATTCATGTGTATGCTAGAAAATAGAAATCATTCCATGCTTACCTCTAAAATAGGTAGACTTTGAATTTCTTATTTTGACTGAAATCAGTTTTACCATAACACTTTCCCTTTGTTCACCAAATGACCCTTCTCAAACAGGCTGATATAGTGTCTCCCTTTTGCCGGAATTAAGCTTCCTGACCCAAACTTGGTTCAACCCCTCCTGCCATTATTCCCCAGTCCTTAATCCCTACTTGTTTCGTTTGTCTGGGTATGGGCTGGTTTTTGCACGCCACATGCATAACAATTGTGGGGAAAGAGCTTTGTGTTCTTGGTAATAACATTTAAAAGAAAATTTAAATGAACAAAGCTGTATTAAATTAGATGTTTAGCTTCTCACTGTTTTCTTCTCAAGCAGGTTGTGGCTGAGGTAATGAATCATTCCCTTGTTTTGTTATTCATATGCATTACTGCATATTCTATAGCTCTAACAATTGAATCGGTAGGAGTGACAACAAAATGTAGACTGCATGTTACGTACCTTAGATATCCGTGATTCACATAATATCAGATGAAGTCTTGTTTCTTTTTTGTGTAAAGCTTTTTGTTGTAATTCAGATATCACCTATTTTAGAACTAGCACAGGTATAGAGTGGTTTAACACTAAGAATCTATAGCTCAAGAAAGACTACAAGCTTTATTAATGGTGAACGAAGCTTAGAAAACAGTTAATATCAGGAGCTAGTAGGTAGGTAGGGGCAGGGGGAAGCAGGGAGGAATAGGAAAGAAAAAAGAAACGAGGAAGAAGAAAAGGAAAGAAAAGGGAAAGGGAAAGGAAAGAAAAGGGAAAGGGAGGGGAACGAGAAAGGGAGGGAAGAAGAAAAGAAAGGAGAAGAAAAGAAAGGGGAATAGAAAGAAAAAAGAAAATAAGATATGTATACACAATCTAAGGTACAAGCAAGTTTATATATGAATCACAGGGTATTCTGCACATCATAAGTTTACAATGATATGTATACACATGGTGTTCTGCACATCATATGTATATACTACGTATGTGAAATGAAGTACTACATGAGTGGATATATATGAATCAAAATCTGCCAACTACTCATGTTATGGTCTGCTACATAAGTTTCTTATTCACACGTCTTCCCATCCCTTCATGTAGTTTATGCTCTTTATTTAGCATTCCAATTAAATGACTGAATTTTTTCCCATACTTACACATTTATTTATTAGCTGCAAGCATAACTCTATCCTTTAAAAACGACAAAAAAGCAGGGGTACTCACATATATGGTAGGCACAGACATTATGTGACTGAAAGCTTTTGTGTACATTAGTACATATGTACAATTATGTTCGGGGTTAAATCGCTACTCGGTATCAACTTGGTCAAGGGCCGAGTAGCGAGTAGGACCAAGCAGGGACGGATCTACATGTACCCCCAGGGGGCCATGCCCCCCCCACTTTTTATTTTTCTACTAGTAGTATTAGTCGTTTTATGTTTTTGCTCTCCCTCCCCACTAAACATGTTATTTTTGCCTGCTGCTTTGTATGATTGCTGTCGGTCTGCCCATCTGGACGAAAGTACCAGTGAGCTCAAGTCTGGAGCATTTTCCCTCGGGGTGAGCAGGACAAAATCACTCCTTATTCAACGCTTAACAACATTTTGACCTTAATAATCTATTAAGAAAAAATATTAACCTTTACTAATTATTTAAGAATCAAAGTAATTTAAGTTTTCTGACGTGTGTTATTACTTGAACAGTTAATTCGAAAATAACTGAATACTTAATTATACTAATTACTAAAGAAATACTCCATAATATTTATTATTTGAATGGTTAATATTTAAACAAGATTTTAGGTTTTAATTTGTACTATTATATAAATAAGAAAAAATAAGTTATTACAATTTACGAATGCGTATTTAATGAAATCTTAATTATTTATGAAGGTGCTAGTATATATTGTCTAAATTTAGGGATAAAATTGACATGCAAGAGCGATTTCTAAATTAAGTTAACTTAATTTTACAAACTAATTATAGTGTCTGGGTATTAAACCATTAGAGCACTTCATTTCGTGACATGCAAGAGAGATTTCTAAATTTTAATTTGCATGCCGTTTACTCATGTATTTTTGGAGGTTTTAATAAATACTATGTGGTACATTATTTAATGTTTAATGCATTTGTATTTTATATGCTATTATTTTTTAATTTCACCCCGTCCACCTTCTCGATCACATACTGGCACCGTCCCTGGGACCGAGTACTCGGGTTTCTCGGAGATTATTCGAAGTTATAGTAATATATTATTCTTATAATTCTTACATATGAATAAAATAATATTAATCTTAATGAAGAAGAAACGAGAAAGAAGACAATGGAGAAGATAGTGAAATACTTTTAAATCTAGACTTTTAAGGTTCATTTCCATTTTTTAAAATACCTACTCATTATTTATAAGTTCCATAATATCTCTCTTTAAATAAAACTTTTCAGATTCCACCAAATTTAAGGGTGGGGTTCACGCTCAACAATGTCCCGTTTTTTATGTATTCCCAAACATTGAGAAGTTGGCTCAAATCCGTAATTCCTTACAAAAACCCTTCATTAACGTAGGGAAAATTGAACTCTGCAAAGTAGAATTTCACTCTATAAATCTTTGGTACAATATGTTAACCTGGTTTGGTGATAAATCAGTTGCGCGCTAGTGAATGGGGGGTGGGGTGGGGGGGTGGCAGTTCAATTACTTAAATGTTATCCACTTTTCGCAAACATAGCTATAACCAAGTTGCTTCAAGAAATTTTATTTCAAAAGGTACCCTAATAGGTTTAGGAAATAGGGCATTCATTACACTGTGAAACAAAATGTCCAAATTGTAAGAAATTAATGTAAGACTGCAATATATTGATTGCCTAGGATTCCAGGAATCAAATTTTTTGTTACTAATGTGGTGAAACGCATCAATGTTCAGTTTCTGCTTGGTAAATAAAATGTGAAACATATTTTCATGGTTCTTTTTTATGTGTGCAGGCAGTTTCAAATGATGTGTAGAATGAGCAGTCTTCAATCTCTTCTTTTCTATGAGAAGTCTGTGCCTGAGGAGGTTATTGAGAACCCTCTTGGGCTATCATTGAATGAGAAGAACATTGGAAACAAATCTCTCCTTGTGGTGGTTGTAAAGCAGCAGGTGGTGTATAGCACATCACGTTCTCTATATGTTGATTCTATTATGGCCGCTCGGGGGGGGGGGGGGGGGGGGGGATGCTGCCTTATGTAGGGTGGCAGGGTTTAGGCTAGGATAGGCTTATGGCGCTGGGGTGTTATGCTGCCTCATTGCCGCCCCATGGCTGCCCCGGGCGCGCTATACTGCCTCGGTTGCGCCGCGTGGTGCCAAACCTTCCGTGGGGGGGGGGGGGGTGGTGGTGGTGGTGGTGGTAGGGAGAAGTGGGAGAGGAGGGAGAAACAGGGGAAAGGAAGGAAAGAAGAGAAAAAGAAAGGAGACTAGAAAGAAGTAAGCGAAGAAGAATAGAGAACAAAGAAAGAAGCGAAGAAGAGAATAGAATAAAGAAAGAAGTTAAGAATACATATATTATATTTCAATGTATTTTTTATTTACCATTAATATATTTCTATTGCTCTGCAGCTTGATTTGGGCGGAGATTTAACAATTGATTAGTCCCCTAAATCAATTCCAATTGGCGACCAGGTATTATGTTCAAACAACAATGGTTTTTTGTTTTTTTCATCATTTTTAAACTGAAGTGCTGAATGGAAAAAGAATTGCTAGGTTTTCATTTAAATGAAGCTCAGCTGCTCAAATTTATTAAGCATTAGAAATAGAAATATACTTTCTGTTTTCTTTTTCATATATTAGTTAGTTCAGTTGGTTGTATAGTAACAGATTGTTAGTTACCAGTTTTCCGCTGTGATCTTGTATATAAACTCTGTAGTACTCTTTCAAACGTATTTTGGGTACTGCATATAGTTTGGGTATCATACTGCCTATATGCTGATTCTATTATGGAATGTGAAGGATTATTGTTAAAGTAAATCCTTAGGTAAATTTTTCTTTTGCCGATTTACTTTCCCTTTTATTTCTACACTCTAAGATGGCGGGCATATTGCAAAAATCTTTAACTGGGATGGATGTTTGTATTATTATGATGCCGAAATCATTTCTAGTTGTAGTTACTGAATGACTGATTAAGGTTCTGACCATTCATATGTATGCTAGAAAATAGAAATCATTCCATGCTTACCTCAAGTTTGTGTTTATCTCTATCTACTGGGGTGACCATGTCTCGTCCCAAGCAGCTGGGTCAACCTAACTCCGGCCCCATTGAAAGTTTGAAAAAAAATGCGTGTAAATTTGTCTTAAAATTTATAATAATGAACCTCGGTTTGCCCCAAATATATATGATTTTCCAAACTTGAATTTTCTTGCTTGTGAATTATTAACAGCAAATGTGAAATCATTGGTGAATATGCTGCAAGTCTGTAAGTACACTTCCTTTCCTTGCATTAGGCGATGCAATTGACGATGTGTCCCAAAAAACGTGTCATGTGGATGGTGGCATACCCTCCTGCTCACGAAGTCACCTACATGAATGGATTTCCGCCTTTTTGATGAATGCTTTGGGACACAATTTTGCTAGGTTAGCAAAGTTTATGTACAATGTAATGAGTATGTACATTATGCAGCCATTATTATGTAGGCATGACAATGGGTCCCAGACCGGGTAGTGCAAGACCAGACCCGCCCCCCGTGACCATGGTGCTCCATGTGGGGTGGATCCGTCTCTAGTTTTGCGAAATCTACAATTTAATTTGATTATTCTATTTGCATAATTTTAAAAAAAATATAAACCAAACGGCCATTTTTTTTGCAAGAAAAAATCATATATTAAATATTTATATTTAATATAAAAACGCATTCACAACTTGAAAATATAAATATAATTAAATTCAGAACTTGCTTTTTTCGAAATAAACATACACGGCCGAGGTTGGTAGATATGCTCTACTGACATATCTGTCATTTATTGATAATTTGATATGAATGGATTCTGTTCTAAAAGAAGCATAAGCACTTTTAATCATAATGTTCTCTACGCATGTGATTATTACGTATGTTAGTCATGGATGATTGGATTCTAAGGTTTGAATCTTTATACCAGGTGTCGAGTGAATTCGAGGAAACCTTGGCTTGTCCTTTATTTTGTTTTTAAGGTTCTATTTAATTTATTTGTGTCTTATTCTGTGTAATTGAAGTAATTCGATCCAGGCTGATCGTGTCCATGTCCCAGGCCGTGTCCCAGGCCGTGTCCCAGGCCGTGCCCCAGGCCGTGTCCCAGGCCGTGTCCCAATCCCGTGTCCCAGACCGTGCCCCAGGCCGTGCCCCATCCCGTGTCCCAGGCCGTGCCCCATCCCGTGTCCCAGGCCGTGCCCCAGGCCGTGCCCCAGGCCGTGCCCAATCCCGTCAGGCCGTGTCCCAGGCCGTGTCCCAGGCCGTGCCCCATCCCGTGTCCCAGGCCGTGTCCCATCCCGTGTCCCAGGCCGTGCCCCAGGCCGTGCCCAATCCCGTGTCCCAGGCCGTGTCCCAGGCCGTGCCCCATCCCGTGTCCCAGGCCGTGCCCCATCCCGTGTCCCAGGCCGTGCCCCATCCCGTGTCCCAGGCCGTGCCCCATCCCGTGCCCAATCCCGTGTCCCAGGCCGTGTCCCAGGCCGTGCCTCAGGCCGTGCCCAATCCCGTGTCCCAGGCCGTGCCCCAGGCCGTGTCTGAACCTGTGTCCCAGGCCGTGCCCCAGGCCGTGCCCAATCCCGTCAGGCCGTGTCCCAGGCCGTGTCCCAGGCCGTGCCCCAGGCCGTGCCCAATCCCGTGTCCCAGGCCGTGTCCCAGGCCGTGTCCCAGGCCGTGCCCCATCCCGTGTCCCAGGCCGTGCCCCATCCCGTGTCCCAGGCCGTGCCCCATCCCGTGTCCCAGGCCGTGCCCAATCCCGTGTCCCAGGCCGTGTCCCAG